AAGTAGGTTTAGTGATAGCACTCTGGCCCAACCACAAGCTACCAACAGTTGGCCCAGGAAACAAAATTTACTATGTCCTTATATTACCACATATTCATATTCCCTCCTCAACCTCCAAAACTTATTTTTAAACTGTTCAATTATCTTATTAGAAGTCATTCACACAAGAGTTAACTTTCAGTTCAGTTTTAACCTGTTTATTCTTGAGCACTATACAACCATGACCCCACTTAATTGTACTTAACCATACTTGTGCACATCAACAGCTCACATTGCTGGATGTCAACCTCATTGCTAAGGTTCCTGTTTTGTTAATTTGAACCAAATCCCTTCCTTATATTACTGAACACTGCCTTTTTCTGGTTCATCTTTGATTTGCAATGGTTTGTTCCAATAAAAGCAATAATGCCACGATGTAGCACCCAAGTGTTTGCCTCAATACCTATTGTTCAACTCCACTTTCTAGATATGATGGACAAAGAAAGTTTAATCTAAGAAACCTTTTCTGACTACACTATAAAGTTTTTCCCACTATGAGTTTATGGGTTAGGTTTATCCCAGTCTGTCCTCAAACTCAGCCATTATTGTTCTGTTTCTTTGCTCATCTTCAGTTCTCCAGTACTGCCATAATACAGATGGCCCATAATATCTAATAATTTAAAGTATTTTCCTTCTTCCCTTTTTCCAATCCACATGCATTCGCTAAAATTTAGTCTTATCTAACAGTGTGACAAAGCAGCATTTGAACCAGATTCTTTTTCTTAAGAATGGACATCACTACCAAGCCCAGCATCTGCTGGCCATCGCTACTTGCCATTTAACTGGTGGTAAGTAGTGACTTGAATTACTGCAGTTTGTATGGTACAAGTGTACACATTGGGTTGGTGGTCCCTGACGCTGTGCTAATTTGCTTATTCTTCATTTCTTTTTAATTTGTTCATTGGATGTGGGTGTCACTGGCTAGACAAAGGTTCCTTGCCCATCCCCAATGGCCCTGGAGAAGCTGGTAGAAACATACAAGATAGGAGCAGGAGGAAGCCATTCAGCCCTTCGAGCCTGCTCCGCCATTCTTCACAATCATGGCTGATCGTCCAACTCAATAGCCTCATCCTGCCTTCTCCCTACCTTTGACCTCATTTGCCCCAAATGCTATATCTAGTCGCCTCTTGAATACATTCAATTTTCTGGCATCAACTACTTCCTGTGGTAATGAATTCCACAGGCTCACCACTCTCTGGGTGAAGAAATGTTTCCTCATTTCTGTCCTAAATCATCTACTCTGAATCCTCACACTGTGACCCCTGGTTCTGCACACACCCACCACCGGGAACAAACTCCCTGCATCTACTCTGTCCAGTCCTGTTAGAGACTTATAGAATTCTATGAGAGGGGAATTGCCCTCCTGGGCCACTCGCAGTCCTTGGTCTGTAGGTGCACTTGATGCTACTAGGAGCAGGATTTTAATTCAACAATACTGAAGGAACAGTGACATATTTCCAAATCAGGTTGTCGTGTGGCTTGATGGGGAACTTCAGGTGGTGGCTTTCCCATGTATTTGCTGAATTCTTCCTTCTACATGATTGATGTTGCAGGTTTTAGTTAATGCTCTCCATCCTGTAGATGGTACACACAGTTGCCACTAAATATTGGTGAAAGAAGTTAACGATTGAAGGCAGTGTATGGACTACCAGTCAACTGGGCTGCTTTGTCCTGGACGACATCAAATCTTCAGCATCATTGGAACTGCACCCATTCAGGCAAGTGGGGAGGATTCCATCACATCTCCTGACTTGTGCCGTGTAGATGGAGGACAGATACTGGGGAGATAGGAAGGGAATCACTCACTGTAGAACTTGAATCTCTGGTCTGTTCTTGAAGCTACAGTATTGATATAGCCAGTTCAGTTCAGTTTCTGGTCAATGGTAACCCCAGGATGTTCATAATGAGGAAATTCAGTCATGGTAAAACCATTGAAAGATTTGCACCTATGGTTAGATTCTCTATTGCTGGAGATGGTCATTGTCGGATTCTTGCGAGATGCGAATGTTATTTGTGCTCATCAGCTCAAGCCAGGACGTCATCAAGGCTTTGCTGCATATGACCGTGGACTGCTTCAGTATCTGAACGTTGCTGAACCATCAGCAGACATCCCCACTTATCACCTTAGCACTGACCGCAGATCATTGGTGAAGTAACTGAAAGTGGCTGGATGCTGAGAAATTCCTGCAGTGATATCCTGGGCTTATTAGATCAGGAACTTTTTTTGACTACCTTAGTAATCCAATCCGAGATGCTAATTCAAAAACAGTTGAACGTCATCCTTTTATTGGACTGGGAATGTCAACAATCAGACATTGCTGGAATGCAGGTAACGATTCTGAAGCAACCTGCACGATTTGCATAATGCTCAAAATCATTAATTTATCTACTAGCAAAACAAACTCGTGTGTTGTGCAGTGAAAACTGATGCATTGTATATACAGCAGGAAGAAATTACCTTGTGTGACATTAAACCTCTCTAGTATGGCTGGGACTTGTGGGATCTTTGGAGAATGCGATTGTTGAGCAAGGTATGCTAACCTGCAACATTCCCACATAGCAGTATCAAATCAGATAGCAATGAGCATACTGAATACAAAGTGATGGAGAGATTGCATCACAATAGTGGGCATCATTCACTATACTCGTTCACATACTTTCCATGAACTGTGTTGATTTGACATCCAAAACAACATATCCAGGATCTGGGACCAAAAAGTGCAAGCAACTTTTCATCTCGGTGAAATTCAAGAATTTCACCGAGACATACAACCTGAATCAAAAGTCAAACTTAAAACATTAATTCCACACCAAATCCTGTACGAAACGAAAGGGCAAAGAAAGGAATAAGACAATGAAAATGTTACGTTTTTCCAAAACCTGAATGAGACATCAAATTTTCAGAGCTGGAGAGCTTGCTCAATAGTAATCAAGACTTACCACATTGATAGAAATGTTCAAGTTTTCCTCATTGGACACTTCAGATCACAAACACATATAGCCATGCATATTGTGCAATTCAGAGGGACCATTTATATGTTGTGTGCAAGTATGGAAACTTCATACATTTGGTGGTTCAATGACAAGTCAGATATAGTATGGAGAAGCCACCACAAGGAGCAGGAAAACTCAGGCAGCAACTTCCATATTTAGCTGTATGGTATGCTTCATTAGAAACTGCCATGGTGAACACCGACAATATTACTGTCACTTTTACTGCAAATTCCAAGTTAATATTTTGTGCACAACTTAGCACCTTTCAATTCCACTTAACTGGTGAGTTGATGGCAGTGTTACGTAGAAAACATTGTGCTGCAATCGTGAGGATATAAAATAAACTTGATACATTTTAAGATCGACACCAAATCATGAGAAGCTCATAACACTCGTCTTCTTACTCGAGGCTCAAACCTGCTCAAATTACCATCCTGTTGTTTTCTTCCACGGGATTGAAAAAGATTAAGAAATATTACCTTTGGAGTCAACATTTCCGAGATACCATGGCTGCCATTAGAAGACTGGCCAGAAGTCACACCAATGTGCTGGGACACTTAGGATTTGAGTTTGTTAACAGCCTACATATTTATGGCCATGACTCTTGGCTTAGGAAACTCTGTCTAAACTCAATCTAGATAAACTGATGTGTCTCAATATGGAGGGCTGGGGGCACAGAGAGGGACGAGGGCCTTTTCAGCTAATTAGGATGTCGAATATATGCATTCCTCACCAGCTTGGCTTGAGGCTCGAGGCTCATGGGCAAAAAAAAGTGTTTTTTTAAAATTCATGTTGAACACCAAAGCAGAATGTTCTCAGCCTCATCTGTTAATGTAAAGTATGGTTAGAAATGTACTTTGTGTTTGGTACAATCCAGAAGTAACAAATCCCTTGCACTCAATACCCTCCTTGACCTGAACAGTACTGTCTTCTGAAATAATGGAGTGGGATACAAGTACTTATAGTGGGACGTTTTAATTTTGTTTTTGCATAGGATGCCTGTAATGAAACATATAGTACATTTTGGAATACAACGCATATATTGAAAAAAGGGAGCTGTTAAATAAACATGTATATTACGCTTATCAGTTATTAGAAGGAACCAGCTGCAGCTGGGCCTTTTGAGGTCGGGTGTAAGCAATGACTAAACTGGGAGAATGATGAAACTGGAGGCGGTCTAACCAAAACCACGCACCCCAAAACTCCCCAAACAGTTTTGAAGCAGAAGTCAAAAATTTTTTTAAAAAGTTTACAAAACCTCAAAAGATTTTTTATAAAGGTAACCAGTCTGCATCTGGATAAGCAGTAATTTTAAAAATGCTGGAAATACTGGGATCAGCTAGTATCTGTGGAGGAAAAAAAGACAGTCACTATTTCACCTCTTAACTTTCAACAGAACACAACTTACACTCTGTTTCTTTCTCAGACTTCCAGCACCCAGTATGTTTTCAGAGAATCACTTGTACTTTAACTATGTAATGAAATAGGTTGCACATAACGTAGGACTGCTGCAATATAGCAAATATGTGGAGCATAAATAGTGTTTGATACAATTCTTCTTGCTCGACCTAACTAAAAATGATTAATATATTCCTTCCATCATTTTAGGCATAAATAAAAAATCTCAGCTCTTACCTTTTTCTGTCCTATACAATTCTGTAGAGATTTTCCACTTGATATTCCAAACCAAGTCTTTACCAAGGTCACAAATGTGGCCATTGTACCCCAGGTACTTTCAGCTCATTACTTTTATGAATATTGCTTTATTGATGACTAAGTGTGGTGACTTGGTATGCAAAGAGAAATTTCACATTCATTGTCCACATACTGCCTATTTTCTACACAGAGCGGCAGTCAGTGGCAGACCTCGATACCATTGAATGCGTGTGCAACTAACTACTTGTCGGGAGAAAATAAAGATTTCCTGCGGTCTTTTCAGTTCACTGCATACCCTCCAGTCAACTCACCTTCTTTTGCATCACTCAGCTCCACAGTGCCAGACATGGCTGACTCCCCGTTCATGCTGCTCCACACTCTTTACAGGTTCAATTCAACTACCTGATGGAGCAGACGAGACCAAGATTAAGCAGAGGAGCTTTAGCTGCAAACAGTCATGCAACCCACCCCCACACACGCTGCAAGATGTGCGCCTCTGTGGCATGTCAGTCAAACACCCTCCCCCACTTTCTCCTGCCCACCCAATGCTTACGCTCTCTACCTCCCTCCCACCCCATGCGACTTCTCCACCTCCTTTCCCCCCCCCACACCCACACACCCACCCCCCACCTTCCTTCCTCCCTCCGCTCACAGGGACAGTAAGAAGCTGCGAGCAGCTGCGGCTTTTGTTGCTTGCGGGAGAAGTCGCGTAGTCGCAGGCGGGCGGGCGGGCGGGGGAAAGAGTGCAGACTGCTCGCCCGGGGCGGGTGCAGAAGGATTTGGGGTGGGGGGAGAGGAGAGAGAGAGAGACACAGACACACACAGAGGGAGGGGAGGGAAATAGAGAGGGGTGAGCTGGGTTAGCGAGGGGGGTGGAGAGGGAGGAAAAAAAAACAGAATTGGGGACCCAGCGCTAAAGCAGCGGCTGGAGCAGGGAGTAGCACCGCCTCCGGGTAAGGAGGGGAGGGGATGAAAGAGACGCAGGCGGCAGCGAAGAGCGAGAAGCGTCTCTCTCTCTCTCTCGCACATTCCCTGCGTGTGTCCTCCACCCAGCCCTGCAAAGAAAAACAACTCCCTCCTTGCTTCTATGCATCAGGCTGGAGGCTCCCAAGGTCAGCAGCAGCTTTCACCCCCCACCCCCATCCAAGGCAGCGAGTCCCCCCGCCCGCTCCCTCCCCGGGGCTCCAGCCCTCCCCCCCGCCCGCCCGCTGCCCTGCATCGGAGCGCGGCTGCAGTCTGTCCCAGACATGGCGCCCCAGTTCCGGCTGCAATGAGCTCGGGCACGGCCATGTTACAGAATACACCATGATCTTTCTCTGGGAAAAAAAAACGCACCAAGCTACCAGATTGTAAAATGCAGAAAGAGGGGGGGGGGGGGGAGGAGAGGAGAGGAAAGAGAAGGGAGATGATTTTGAAAATATTGCATTTGATAAAATTTTATTTTGAAACAAATGCAAGCGGACCAGCGAAACCTCCAAAAACGAAAAATATGTATGTATATAAAATAGTACGTTCTCCCCAATTGGCTCTCAGTTTGTCCCTAGCCTTGGGGAAGGGAAGGGGAGAGGAGGGTGAATGCAGTCCTGCTTGGATTCTGATCCGCCATGTGAGTGCTGCAGCCCGGCTTAGAGCGCGGCACAAACCCCGCCACAAAAACACAACCCTTTCTCTCTACCCCCCCCCCCTCCTCCACCACCCACCAAAAATAAATGCAAGCCCGACCTCACCTTTAGAAAACGTTTTCTTTTTTAAAAAAAATCCACCGCACGAAAGAAAAAAAAATACTCACCGTCCTTCTCTTCCGAAGATTTTTAATAAAAAAATAAAATCTGGGCGAGCCCCGAGCCGGAGAAGAGACTGCAGCGAGAAGATCCGCAGAGAGAAAAGGAGGTGGGGTAGGAGGGAGGGGGGGGAAAGAATTGGAAAGAAAAGAGAGAGAGAGATCCAGCGAGCTAAAGCCGATTGATGAGCGGTGCGAGTCGGTGGGGGCAGCCCGGGAACCTCGCACTGCGCTCGGGAGAGCGAGCGGATGGAAAATGGGAGGCGAGCGAAGGGGAGTGGGTTGGAAAGGGGGGGTGGTGGTAGTGGAGGAGGAGGGGAGGGGGGGATAGAGAAGCCGCCAGAGACAAAAGGGGCCGGAACCGAGAGGGAGAGTGAATCCGAGACAGCTTGCCCTGGCGCGGCCACTCGAACCAACCAGCTTCCTGCTGCTGGCGACGAGAGGCGGCTCCACGGCGCGACCGTGTCGGCACAGCCCAGCGCCGAGCCCTCACTGTGTGTCTCAGTACAGCCCTAGCGCCGAGCCCTCACTGTGTGTCTCAGTACAGCCCTAGCGCCGAGCCCTCACTGTGTGTCTGGATGCAGCCCAGCGCCGAGCCCTCTCCCTCTCTCTGTGCCCGAGTATAACCCAGCACCGAACCCTCTTACTCTCCCTCGTGGGTCCGAGTACAGCCCAACGCCGAGCCCTCACTCTCTTTCCGTGTCCGGGTAAAACTCAGCGTCGAGCCTTCTCTCTCGTGTCTGAGTACAGCCCAGCGTCGAGCCCTCTCTTCCTCTTGTCTCGGCACAGCCTAGTGCCGAGCCCTCTCTCTGTAGCTGGACACAGCCCAGCGCCGAATACCCTGTGTATGTGTGGGAGACTGGGTAGAACCCAACGTGGATCTGTCTGGGCAGAGCCCAGCACTGAGTCCCCACTCTGTCTCGCCAGAGCCCCAGCGTGGATTCTTCCCTCCCCCCTCCTTCCTTCCCTCCCTCCCTCTTGTCGGCACAGCCCAGTGCAGATCCCCTTCGCCTTGTGTGCGTGTGTCGGCACAGCCCAATGCAGAGATCCCCTTCGCCTTGTGTGCGTGTGTCGGCACAGCCCAATGCAGATCCCCTTCGCCTTGTGTGTGCGTGTGTCGGCACAGCCCAGCAGAGATCCCCTTCACCCTCCCTCTGTCGGCACAGCCCAGACAGATCCCCTTTGCCTTGTGTGTGTCGGCACAGCCCAGCGCGGATCTCCTTCACCCTCCCTCCGTCTGCACTCTGCCGGCCGGAGCTCACGCACTGTCTTAAAATGTACTTTTTTTTGGAAAAAAAAACTCCACCACCAGCCATTTCTCTTTAATTAGTAAAAGAATTGAAAGGGATAGGAAAAAGATACAAGGAAATTTCTTAATCGAGGGGAAAGAAAAAGCCCTTACCGTTCCGTCTTGCGAAAAAAACACAAGGGAAGCTCGCTCTGAACCTTCGCCAGATCCGCGGCGCTGGCCCCGGGCGTGGACGCTTTCTCGTCCCCGTTGAGAGCCGGCATGCTTCGCGATACTTCCGACCTCTCCAATCCCCTTTTTCCGGATCAGCTCCTTCCCCCATCCCCCTGCTCTCCTCCGACTTGCATTCAGCCCGTCTCTCGTAGCAGAAGAGGTGTCCTACTGTGTGTGTGTGTGTTTTGGCGAAACGATGTATATGTCCAGCAGAGGAAGAGAAACACCATCCCGCCTCCTCCATTTTTTTTCCGTCTTTCAAGGCAATAAAATATCTTCTCCAACAAGACGCGAAGTTCTTTTTTTTTTGGAAGGGCGAGGGTGAAGTTTGTTACTATTTGAGTTGGTGGGAGGAAAGAATTGCGGTTAAAATGAACCGAAAAGGCCGCTTCTCTCGCCCCAAGAGCGGCAGCAAAGCCGAGAGAGTGCTGGTTGTTGCCCGGACTAATTGCTAGTGTTAAATAGTTAGTTGCAGTGAAGTGCAGCGCTTACACATAGAATATTGAGCCCGAGCTTTCTTTGCTACATTTTTATTGAATTTCCAACTCCACCTTTGTTGTCCCGCGCGTCATCCCCTGTCCAACCAATGGAGATGAAAATTGCCTGAAATAAATTAATGAATTTCCACAGTATGGGGCGGGAAATTTTAAAGGGAAGGGTAGTTGGGGGGGGTGGGGATTTTAAATTGGAAGTTACCCTTTCTCTTTTCACCCGAGGCTCACCAAGGTAATGCCAGATCGTTGAAATGAGAAGGGTACGTCCGCGCAGTCATGGGTCTCAATCCCAGGACTTAGACGCGAAAACTTCCCCCAAACCCCGGACTCGGTTGTGGTAATCCCAAGAAGCGTTGGCTTGTGTGGACATTTTGCGACGACGATGTATGGAGAGAAAAAATAAAGCGGATCAAATCCCAGTCGCGTTGCAAGAGTCCCCGGCGAAATCTTCCTGCTTCAAGTCTAAAAGTTGGGGCCAGTCTTCAGGCTCGGGCGAGTGCAGTGAATGGCTGTGTCACATTGTAACAACATCGACATAAGTTATGTCGCAAGACTGAGCGGGGGGGAAGACCAGACCGAGGGAAATATGAAACAAGGCTTTTGGTTGGGAACGGAGGAGTTTCCGCGCACCTGTCTATCACAGCCTTGGTGCCTCCTGTTGTTGTGACGATTTAATGGGGAGGTTTCCACTGAGCCTAGCCCCTTTGGAAGCGGATATTCTGCATATTTGTTACAAGGAGAGTGCATTTTAAGCAACGAGCAATAGCCAAGTTCCACTCATGAATTACAACCGGGGCAGATTTACAGCCCTTGAGTGGAAAGAAGACTTTAATTATATATTGATAATTCTGCAGTTTGTGTCATCAGCATTTTCCGCCATGCAGAATTCTTGCAGTTTGTGTTGATTTGCAGTCAGCAACTATTAAATAGACTAGATTGAAATATTACCATTGTGTTTTAGAAGAGGAGTGAATAACACCAGAAAATGGCTTAATACAACTTTTTGATAAAAAGCGTATAAAACAAAGAAACAGTTCATTCCGTCCCCCTTCCGCTCTACCTGACCCCCTGGAAAAGTAGATACCCAACTTGTTCACGGGTTGCCACCAGCTACTGACAGTTGCAAAAGAACAGCACTTAGTTGCCCCATCTACAGGCTGTATCGCTTTGTCACCACCCCCATTCCGGGGCCCAGCTCTCTCGGTGGTAAAATGCAGGAGTGAAGGCCGAGCTTTCCTAATCCGGGCCGGGAATGGTTCTATGGCGTACCCCGTCACTTTAGCTTTTCTCTATCAAAATCTAATTATTTTCCCCAGTCCCTCCATCAAGCGTTTACAATCCAACATGGCCATCCTTCTAGCAGTTCGCTACTGCATTCAATGAGATTTGACTATTGCAGGAAGAGTAGAACATTAGAACGTACGAAACGATGAGTTTACGCTGTCTGAAAGCTCTTAATGTCATGATTCCTTCAGCTCCTGACACGGCCTCTTGCTTCCATTACACCCTTTCGAATGAAAACACACGTGTTAATGTTATCTATACGAATTTCTATTTTGCAATGTTTCTATTTCTTCACTGTTTTATGCTCTCATTCACCATGTGTCTATTTCCTATGCTGATAGTTGGAGAACTGTTTGAAGTGTTCTTCCTTAATCACAGGATGTTGATGCTGTCACACACACAATATCCTCTAATCTGTACACATCTTGATAGTATTTAATAGGATACATCGCCAATGACGTTGGACCAATCAGTTTGTTCCAATCAAAGTTGTGCAGAGTAAAACCATTATTTTCCGTGCCCTAGTCTAAACTAACTATGCCTTCATTGCCGCTTCCGGGTAACACTGGGAAATAAAGCCACACTGTTTACAGTTCGTGACCTTGTGTGTTACATTGGATCTGATGACCTTCCGACCCCATAGTTACACGATTACTAAGACCGCTTATCTTATTAACATTGCTGCGTTTTCGTTATCGCTAGAGTATTCCAGTGTAATTCTGGCTGATTTTGCTCGCTGACCTGCACCGGCTGCCGGTCAAGCAACATCATTTTTAAAATTCACACCTTTCATTTTCAAATTCCTTGCTGGCCTTACCCATGTCTAACTTTTGTAATCACCTACAGATCTCCAAGTTTAATTCTAGTCTCTATAACATCACTGATATTGGTTGCCTCACTATTGGTGATCATGCCTTCAATTGCCTAAGACCTAAACGGTGGAATATTGTTCCTTTACCTCTCTACCTTCCCTTCCTCCTTTAAGATGTTCCTTAAATCTATCTCATTCTACCATCTAGAAGGACAAGGGCAGTCGATATATGGGAACTCTGCCATCTGCAAGTTCTTCTCCAAACTACCCACCAAATGGAATTGCAAATACGTCACTCTGTTCCTTCACTGTCACTGGGGCAAAATCCCAAAATTCCCTTCCAAGTCAAGCATTGTGAGTGTACTTATGTCCTAATGTTCAACAAAATTCCTGATTTTGGAATGGCCATTTTATGTCTGGTATCCGTGTAGTAGTTTGGTCAAACTTACTGGGAGGATTGCCATGCCTGCTTCACATTCCCTGTGTGCATTTATTTGCTTTCCCTTGCAGCGGGACTAGTTGAATTGATGTTACATAGGTAGCCTTAATGTCAGGCAATTTGTGGCTTCCCTTCAATGGGTAATTTTCCTTCTCCAACAGTTTACTATTGCACACAATACAACTGGAACTAATACCTGAAGGATAACTGAGATATGAGACACTCGTGCTTTGGTGAATAAGTGCATTCATTCTCTGTCCTAAATCCTTTCCCACCAGGTCCATGTTGTTATAAGATTCTTCACAATGTCCTTCTCTATATCTTTAACCTTGTTTATAACTTGGTAATAGTGCACTACCCCTTCTCCTAATTCCTTTCACATTTTAACTGATGCTCCCTTAGAGTGAGGATTGGGACATCCTCTTTGTCCATGCATTTCTCCTGATCTGAGTGTTCTATTTTATTTCCAATTCTTCTTCCTTCTGCTCATTATAGGCCACCCCTAGCCCCATTAATTTATGTCCATGGACTAAGTTCTAAGTGGAAGGTCAACTGGGTAATATTTCACTGCTGGTGCCCATGCTGGTAGGTAGAGGCCCTTGTGGTTGAACAATATATTCCTTGGCCCTTAATGTTGACTTATTGCTCAGGGTCAGCCTACAGGCCAGTCTTTACTCCACATTCATTATTGAGCTTAGATCCACATTAGGTTCCAATTGTTAAAGCAAGAAGGGATAACACTACCATCCATGGGCCTTATGCTATCCTATTATGTCTACTCCATATGTCTGATTTCCCCTTTAGATTGTGTCCTTGACCAGAGGGGCATGCTGTACCCACTCATTGTAGTATCCCAAAATTCTGTATCTGGGACAATAGTTGGTCCTCTTTGTCTTGCAGTTGTGGAACTACAATACTATTCCACTAAGTGCTGGTTGGGCTTCTCACAAAGAGCCTTAATAGGATACAGCCTGATGACCTTCATGATGCAACACGCGGTACTGTTGCTCTTCTATGTGTGCCAATCTTGAATAGTTCAGTCACAAATCCAAATTGGTATTTCCTGATGGGCTGTCTGCTTCAGTTAATGGTTTTTAACCATATCTGGTGGATGCGTAGTGTACAATCTCCACAATGGATGGAGGAGTTTGGCTTGATAATTTGTAGCCTGGTGGTGGTACAGAACTGTAAGAATATCCACCATGGGGCAAGGGACCACTTGCTTGAATTTGGAGGAAAAGCTATTAATTCAGATTTTAGATTGCAACTTGAACGTCATCTTAAAAAATTATAAATATTTTGCAATGTGGCCATTGACTGTTATGAGTGATATGGTGCTGGCCTGGGAAAGATATGATGATGAAATGAAGATGGAAGTGGGAACACCTCTCAAAATATTTTAATTTTCCTCTGAGTGTCCAGCCTCCTCCATCATCCCCATTACCCGTGTGCAAGCCATGCTATAAAAGGGTCTTGAGCTGACTGACCCTGGAGGAACTCAAACTAAGAACCATTAAGCATAGCGAATGTGGCCAAATGCTGTCAATTGCACTTTGCAATGCATTCCATCACTTTAGTGATGATCAACAGTAGACTAATGGATCAATAATTTAGAAGGTTGAATTTGTCTTGCTCTTTTTTGGACAGGACATATCTGCGCGACTTCCAACTTTATTGGGTAGGTGACAGTGTTGTAGATGTACAAGCCAGAACCCCACACACCACCTTATTTCTGATCACCAAACCTGCACAATTCAGTCCAACCCGAGCAGTTTCTGGCTGCTGCCTCAGGAACTCTCAAATCCACAGGTCGGACGGGTATATCTCAGCTGTCAGGGCAAGGATATTCGTCTGCTGGTGCGGCTTGGATTGCACTACATAGAAATTGTCAAAAGTATACGTTCAAGAAATTGTAATGCACCAAGTATCTGTACATGAACATTTTATAAAATGTTAAGTTTCCTAGTTTTGTGGCGCCATGTGAAGTAAAGCAGTTAACTGCAGTTGCACATCTTGCCCATTATTATGATTAGCTTTCACTTGTTTATTGATAAATGTCAACACAGGATGGGATTCATTGAGCAAATATGTAATATGTCACTGAGTGGTTGCAAGACTATTTAACGCAAAGTGAGGATGGGTTTTGGGTTATGGTCCTTGTGGTGGGAGTGGACTGCAGGACTTCACTAGTTATGGTTCATTTTTGGGGAACTTCCATGCATTCCATGCAAAAATGGACCAGACTGGTTCTGAGAGGATTGGCCCAGCTTCATCTCCTCCTGTAAGTTCTCTTCCATTTGTAATGAACTTCTTTGCCTTCATCCATCTGCAATCCTTTCTACTGTGCAATCTTTAGCATGATGCACACCACTACTAATTCAGCAGGCCTCTTCTGAGAAGTACTAAACACAGCCACCGGTCTATCTGAGCATGTAAGGTGCACCTTCAACATTTCAGTGGCTTGATCATAGCATTCCTGCAGTCCATTGGTGAAGTTGGTCACACGTGTCATGAAACAAATGCCTGAATTTCTTATCAAAAATGATTCTGTTAAATTTGAAAATGGATAAACTGGAGCTGGGTTGCACTCCCAATCGAAAAATGAAAAGAATGAGGAACTAAAAAGAACTGAAATGGGAAAATGAAAAGAACTTGGATGAGCAGTTGAAATATCATTACGTTCAAGAGTATGGGCCATGCGTGGGAAGTGGGACTAGTGTAGGTATAGTATATTTTTGGCAGTGCGGTCTCGATGGGCCAAAGGCATCCTCTATACCATATGATTCTGTGAGCTCTGTGGAACACAACTGGAAACGACTTACCATTCGCAAACATATCCATTGATCATTGCCCTTTTGTTTCTTGTCACCGAGCCAATTTGGACTCAACTCACCACATTCCTCTGGGCCTTACCACATGGGCTTTAGTTTTTCTGGACAATCTGCCATGTAGGATCTTGTCAAATGCCTTATTTAAATCTATGTGGAGAACATTTACTAATCCTAATCAATCCTCCTTGTTACTTAAAAAAATTATATTAAGCGAATGATATTTGACTTTCCCTTCACAAAATCATTCTGATTATCCCTGATTAATCCACGCCTTTATAAGAAATAGTGAATCCTATCCTTCTATACTGATTCCTGTAATTTGCCCACCATTGAGGTCAGACTGACTGACCTATAATTATTCAGACTATCCCTCACCCTCTTTTTGAATAATGGTGCAACATTCACAGGCCTTCAGTCCTTTTGTACCCTGTATCCACTGAAGATCTGAAAATGATCCTCAGATCTTCCATTATTTCCTCCTTACATTCCATTAACAGCCTCGGATACAATTTGTCTGGCCCTGGTGATTGAACTACCGTTGAAATAGATCAGTTGCTTCAAACAGGTCAGTTCCAGTACTTCAGTTCTTGTTATGCTTATTCCATCCAATATTTCACAGTCATTTTCGAATGTTTGCATAATCCCTCTCTTTTATGAAGAAAGAGACAAAAACGCATTAAAAACCCTGCCGACATATTGTGCTTGCATGCTCAAAATACCATTTACATCATTAATAGCCCTACCCTTTCCTTAGTCATCCTCTTGCTCTCAACGTATTGATAAATCATCTTTGGATTTTCTTTAATTTCTCCAGGCAACATTTTCTTGTTTTCACGCTTTGTTTTCTGAAGTTCTGTTCTTACTTCACCCTTGGACTTTCTATGCTCCTCTACGGTTCCCAAATTATTGTTTTTTGAATTGTCTATTTTTCTGTTTTACCTTGCCATGTCATCTGCTGGATAACCATGAAGCTCTAGATTTGGGGGGGCTAGATTTGGGAGGTATTATTTGTGGGGACATTTCACACTATATCTGTAGAATTTTGTTTTTGGTTTTCTGGGGGAGGCAATAGTCTTGTGGTATTATCGCAGGACTGTTAATCCAGAGACTCAGGTAATGTTCTAGGGACCCTTGTTTGAATCCCACCATGGCAGATGCTGAAATTGGAATTCAATTAAAATCTGGAATTAACAGTCTAATGATGATGAGTCTAATGAATCCATTGTCGATTGTCAGAAAAAGTTGTCATTAATGTCTTTTCAGGAAGGAAACTGCCACCCTTACCCAGTCTGGCCTACATGTGACTTCAGACCCAAAGCAATGTGGTTGACTCTTAATTGCCCTGTGGATAATTAGGGATGGGTGATACATGGTAGCCTAGCAAGTCATGCCCTCATCGTGTGAATGATCAGAAAAAAAAAGTTCCCATTGGTTGGCCACTGACTTTGTTCAAGTGGCTGTGCTGTTCTATCTTTGATCCTTTCCATAATGATGCTGAACAAGCTGTTATGATCACTATCTCCAAAATGGTCACAC